CAGTGGTGCAAATGTTGCAACGACTGGGGAGAGGGAGAGTTGCAATGGACTGCCGATAGCCCAGTTTGTTGGGTTTCGCCTTAGTAGCCTGTCCATCAGACATTGCCTTCGTCCGCCGGTGTAGTCGTTGGGTTTCTATGGTGGTCACCTCTTCCGCCTACACCGCCGTTGGGGTCTTGTTGGAGCTCTGTAAGCATGTTTGCCTGATGCGGGGCACCACCGCAGATTTTTCGTTTGGGGTTTACTCCCGTAGCTTTATACCTGCCAAGGTTAATCCGCAAGGCAGCGGGGCGGTGGTTGGTAGGCGCCAGGACGTGTCCACATGACAGTGAGCCTATGCGCCATCCCTCTGGGGCCCACTGCTACTCCGAGATCCCCTGGTGGTCTAGCCTGGGCCCACGAGGCACCCAGTTACACGAGGAGGCACAGAAGGCGTCTTGATGGTGAGGAGGCTGTGTACTGGCAGGGGAAGACTTAGGCAAGTTGCTTCCCTGTTCGCCACGAGGGTTAGTCAGTGGCGGTAGCTGTAAGCGAGAGGGAGCAAGCAATGCTTGCACTTTAACACTAACATAATGCTGCCACACGAGGCGCATTTCACCACCCTGTGTAGTGTGTGTACCCACACACACACACACACACACACACACACACACACACAAGTCCGAACACCTGCAGTAAACACCTCAATACAGTTCCGGGTACAGTCAGCACTTATTCTTCCCCTTGGATACCTGCTCTTTGCGTCCTCACCTGTTGTAGTGCCTCTCATTAATGCATTAAACTTTAACCTTTTACCATTTTATTTCCTCGTTAAATGGCAACAATTGGGGGTGGGGGGAAATATTGGCCTCGGGATAAGACTGCTCGTTGTAATAATGTAGCTGTGTTATATCTTGGGTACTATTGGGGGGTTAAGTTCCGGTGTTAATGGAAATATCTGGAGGGTGGAGGTGCTTTTGTATAGGTGAGGCAGGTGGGAGTCTTGGTAGAGAGAGGGAGACAGACAGATAGACAGAGTGACAGATAATGAAAGAGTGATAGACAAAGAAAGACAGGCAGACAGACAGAGTTGTTTTGGACGTGATCGAGATGATGTGAATGAACCTGATGACTCGATTTTCTCTCTCTCTCTCTCTCTCTCTCTCTCTCTCTCTCTCTCTCCCTCTCTCTCTCTCTCTCTCTCCACCTCAGCACCACCACTTAGGTTCATTCATCATCTGCTGACTCGACTTATGGTCATATCGGGTCGTGTCCAAGTAAACACCTTCCCACCTTTTTTCCTCTTAATTGTTTTTTCTTCATCATTAATCTCCTCAATTACAGGTATTTATTTTGTAATCTTTTACTTCATGTCTGGTACAAGAGTTAATTACATGTGTACGGCTCCTTCTCTGTCCTGAATAAAAATCACCTGATGTTAACAAAATAAAATATTAAAAGTGGGGTCCCTGTAGTGAAGGTGTTAGTAGAGTGGATCTATCGCAAACACCTTTGAAAATTTTCTGATTTTTGTCTTCAATATTCAAGAGTGTTTGAACGTGTCTTTGTATATATATGTAAATGAAAATACATATTCAGACAGCACAATGTAAATACAAATATGTAAATTATATACTAACACATTCATTGATATTATAATGTAAAAGAGTATTTCTAAAGAGTAAATTTGAGGTTTTATAATATATTGAATAAAATTTGGGGTTAATAATTGAATGGACAAAATAGATGTTACTATTATCACCCCAATGAACGGCTCCCCAACCATGTTACGAGAGTTTATTCTCCCCAAGGCGGTAAATAGCGGTCAAGTAGTGTCAACAAGTGGTGTCTGTTGGCCCTCTATGAGTGCCAAGTAGAGACCAAAAGATGCCAGTTAGTGGGAAAATGTCACCAATCAGTGGACATGTTGTGCCAGTTAGGTGCCAGGTGTTAACAGTCAGGCAGCGGGTACATGGTAACAGTCAGTGGGCTTCAGTTAGGACCAGTCAGTAGGCAATTAATACCAATCAGTAAGCAGTTAATACCAGTCAGTACGCAGTTAATAACAATCAGTAGATAGTTAGTACCAGTTAGTAGACAGTTAGCACCAGTCAGTAAGCTTCAGTTAGTACCTGTCAGTAGGCTTTAATCAGTACCAGTTAGGATGACAGTCAACTTGTCGAAAAGAGTAGGATTTTAAAGCTGTTTCCTTACTCCTCTAGAAGCTGTTAGAGTATGTTTACGCCAAGTGTTATCTAAACTGATCCAAAACTTACTAAAAACAAAACAATTTATTATTTTTATAACGTTTACCTTCAAACTTACTACAAACAGATCGAACATAAAAAATAAATAAAAAAAAATAAAACGTCCGTCGAGAATTCTGCACCGTAGTGAAAATAGCAATTGAAGATACAAAGGGAATAGAATGTTTGTCTTGTTGCAGAGAGTGAGCAATGCAAGGTTGATATAACAATAGTTGCTACTCTACAGCCAGTCCTTTGGCAACACAGGTGAGGGAAAAAGAGGCCGCGTTCAGCCTTTACTTCATATGAATTTTTTGAAGTCTTTTTGTCTTTTACTCCAGTGTGTGTGTGTGTGTGTGTGTGTGTGTGTGTGTGTGTGTGTGTGTGTGTGTGTGTGTGTGTGTGTGTGTGTGTGTGTAGTGATTACGAAGGCAACAGACATATCGATGATAATAATAATAATAATAATAATAATAATAATAATAATAATAAAGATTCGTAACAAAGACGATCCCGTGACCTCCGACTGGTGACACACTCTGACGCATTATAGAAGACTGCCGTAACTCCCGGTGCTATGATAAATACCCTTAGCGTTACTCCATAAACAATAAACATAAATCAGGTTTTGTTTGTCACATTGCTTGAAAAAAAAAATCTGAATTTGAGTAAGAAAATGATATGCAGAGCTGGAAATTGCACTCTGTTGAATTACATACAAAAGCGCTTTACGACCCCTCCACCCCCTCTTATACTCACCCCTCCTCACCCCTCTTATGACCCCTCACCTCCCTCTCCCTCTTATGCCCCTCACCCTCCTCACCCCTCTTATGACCCCTCACCCCTCCTTCACCCCTCCTTATGACCCCCTCCACCCTCTTGGCCCTCACCCTCCCTCTCCCTCTTATGACCCCCTCACCCCTCCTTCACCCCTCGTGGCCCCTCACCCCTCCTTCACCCCTCGTACTTGAGCCCCCTCACCCCTCCTTCCCCTCAGTATGACCCCCTCACCCTCTTGACCCCCTCACCCTCCTCTCCTCTTATGACCCCTCCCTCCCTCACCCCTCCCTCCACAAAGGGAAAAATAAAAGTTCCCATTAAAGTGATTTTGTCTTTCACTCTAACTCTCTGCCTAGTTCTCTCACCTCCCAAGTTTATTTACTTTGTTCTGTTGAGTTAGGTTAGGTTAGGTTAGGTTAGGTTAGGTTAGGTTAGGTTAGGTTAGGTTAGGTTAGGTTAGATTAGATTATTAGTGGGGAGAGTTATATTGATCTATATACTGTGTTCATATACTGTGTACATATACTGTGTTCATATACTGTGTACATATTTGAGGCGTTCAGAATCATAACCTTCCGTCAGTCATATTGAACAAAAGATAAAATAAATAAAACAGAAGTAAACAATAATAAAACTTAAACAATGTAAACAAACCAAAGATGCCGGATTAAGGGTCAACTCGTCCTCGAAAGTCCGGCAAATTGTTCAGGGTTTGTCTTTGTGAACTTTTGTTACGTTGTCTACTGATTTGTAACTTAATGCCCTAAGTTAATGGAACAGTCGACCACCTCTAAGTTTTTATTAGTGGCAGTGGTGGAAGTTAGTAGTAGAGAGGAGGAGGATTAGGAGGAGAGAGAGAGAGGATTAGGAAGAGAAGGAGAGAGGGAGGGCAAAGAGGAGAGGGACGGAACAAGATAAAGAGACAGAGACTAAGACAGGCATACGGACAGACAGACAGCAAGATAGACAGACAAACATTCCTAGATACACAAAAGAAAAGAAACAGTAAGACAGACAGAGAAAAAGAAGATAAAAGAGCGTAAATATAATGTGTGTGAGAGAGAGAGAGAGAGAGAGATAACACCACGCACAACAACAATATCTGGCGACACACACATATCCCTACCTAGGAACTTTGCCGCTAAAGTTACCGAGGAGGAAAACTGGCCAAGTCGAGGCCTCACTAAGTAACCCTGCAACAATTTACTGGCCCGAGTGACGCTGCTGGTGTCCACGTATACCACACGCTCGCCTCCCTCTGCTTAGTAGAATGAGGAAAAACCTAATACCATTGTAATTTTGGGGTAAACATGTTGTGGTGGGTGAGTGAGCTGGGGTGGTTGGGGTGACCATGGTGTGGGTGGGTGGACTGGGTGACTCATGGTGGGCTGGGGAGGGCTGGGTGACCATGGTGGGCGGATGTGCTGGATTAAAACTGCTGATAAGAAATATGTTCAGTGAGAAAATTCCACTTTTTTCATGCCAAGAGACTCGTGCATATATGATAGGGGTATGGCGGGGTATGACGGGCATGACGGGGTATGGCGGGGTATGGCAGGGTATGGCAGGGCATAGCAGGGTATGACGGGTATGGCGGGTATGATGGGGTATGATGGGTATAGCAGGGTATGACGGGGTATGACGGGGTATGGCGGGTATGGCAGGGTATGACGGGGTATGGCGGGGTATGGCAGGGTATGACGGGTATGGCAGGGCAGTATGACGGGCATGGCGGGGTATGGCAGGGTATGACGGGGTATGCGGGTATGATGGGAATGGCAGGGGTATGGCAGAGTATGACGGGGTATGACGGGCATGGCGGGTATGGCGGGGTATGGCAGGGAAGACGGGGTATGGCGGGTATGGCAGGGTATGACGGGTATGGCAGGGTATGACGGGGTATGGCGGGTATAGCAGGGTACATGACGGGGGTATGGCGGGGGTATGATGGGGAATGGTGGTGGGTATGGCAGAGGCGACGGGGTATGACGGGGTATGGCGGGGTGGCGGCAGGCAGCGACGGGTATGGCGGGTATGGCAGGCGACGGGCATGGGCAGGGTATGAGACGGGGTATGGCGGGTATGGCAGG